AACATGAATTCATAATTCACACGATCATAGGCCTTTTCAAAGTCCAGGAACATCGCGTAGGCTTCTTGATTGAAGGTGGTGCAATGATGTTGAAGGTCTTGCAGAAAGATGACATGATCATGGATCCGCCTGCCTTTGACGAAGCCATTTTGTTCGGGTTGGACGATCAACGGTAAGACTTGTGACATTCGGTACGCTAACGCGCGTGATAGGACTTTGACTTCGACTGGGATCAAGGCAATGGGCCGATAGTTTGCTGGGTTGCGTCGATCGCCTCCCTTGAAGAACAACGATATGGCCGACCAACGTTGCGAATCCAACATAACGCCTTGCTCAAGTTGGTGGTTGAAGACTATGGACAAGATTTCACCAAACAAAGTAGGATGCACTTGGTAAAAGCCTGCTGAAAACCCGTCAATTCCAGGTGACTTGTGCGGATTCATCGTCTTGATGGATTGCGCCAGCTCCTCGACCGTGAGTGGTGCATCCAAAGCTTCTGAATCGTCTTGCGGTAAGTGTCTTTCAAGTACATTCAAGAAGTCTGACTTCTCTTGTGCACTTGTAGGTTGAAGGTCGCCTTCACTCATCACTGCTGACCAATGTCGAGTGAAGCTGCATGGATTTCTTCTGGTATGGTAGTGACATTTCCTTGTTCGTCGTAACATTCGACGATAGGTATCGAAAACTGCCTAGCACGTGGTTTGCGAAAGAAGTGACTTGTTGGTGCTTCGTTTTGGGTTGCATGGAAGTCAAAACTCAAGTCTGCGTGGTGCTGTTTCAAGTCCTGCTTCTTGGTCTCATAGCGTTTTCGTAATTGGTAGCCATACAACTGGTTGTTTAGTCATGCAGACAAGCCAAGCTTCATTGAGAAAATATGGCGAGAGCTGTAAGACCAGAGTGATTTCGAAAACAGCTAAAGCAAGTTCGACATCATATAATAATACCCCCAATTCTGGTGGACATACAGCTTGGATATGTGCGTGTTGGATGAATGCAACATCAAAGAAGGACGCTGTCGGTGAAATGGAAAATATCTCGAAAAATGAAGTGGCAAAGGGGGCAACTTTGGGAAGAGTACTGGCCACAATCCACCTGTGTCACGCGTGAAGCTGTGCTACTTTTCTGACAGCTTGTTGGTCATTCCAGTAGACTCTTGTAAAATCGCAATTGGCTTTGTGTGGAGCTGTAGACATCCACCGCCACATTTCTTCTGCTTGAGCTTTCTCCAACTTTGGACTAATGTCAAGCAGAGGTTCAGCTGCTGCTTCAAGAATTGTTTGATGTGCTATATCCTGGTCATACGTGTCTGTCAGGGTCTGTATCTCCTTCACAATTTCTTTCAGTGTCAAGTTGTTAGGGTGCCATTGCATACTACTGTTGCGTAGTCGCATACGACGTATGCTGGCTCTCCTGTGAAATGCCTTTTGAGGAGGACTTTGAATGTCCATGATATAAGTTTGAACGGGAAAATCTTGTGGTGTGTCCCACCGCCCTTGTGTTGACTTCAAACATACAAAGCGCATCGTACATATTTGCTGTCACCCACGGTTTAGATGATCCCGTATTTACTTCCTCTCGAGTGCGTTTGAGAGGTTTTCTCGGTCTCATCTACTTCCATATCATTCACCATGGCATGGAATTCTGCCTGTGGCGTCTGTTCGACTCTCTCTTCCAGTAACTCAGTTGGCCGCGTTGGCATTCGTTGACCCTGGTTTGAATTTTCCGTCTCCTGGGGGCCCATATCCTCGATGGGTTCCTCCCTTGTCTGTTTACGGATTTCCTCTTGGGGTTGGCTATGCTCGTTCGAATTAACTTTATGGTGCTTGTTGACTGCATCCTCGTCCTCTTGTTGGACTTGTCCTTAACAACTTCTGAAATATAAATCAAATTTTAGTTTTTTTTATGTTTTTTTAAAAATAATTTTTGAGTTATTTATTTATTTAAATTTATATGATTATTTTTATCACCTGTTTGATGAGCATTTATTGTACTTGATTATAATGTAATAATAGCCTTCTAGTTCTGCACTGACTAGAAATTTATCTAAGTCGAGACAGTGAGGTGACAGTCGTCCTTGTCGAGCCGTCGTTGGTTTCACATAGTTTTTGACGAAGACGCCATACGGAACTCCATGTAGTATGATTTGATCCACTACGTGTCCATTGACCAGCAATGCTGACGGTGTACTGCTCTTATTGAAATACACGCGCCAAATGTTTGGGTGTACTGTAGTTTTATGTTCTTTGGACGTGTAGGTCATCTTATAGCAGATGAAAACGGGGCTTGTTTTCAATCGGCGGAGTGGTTTAAGCACTGCTTGCGAGTCAAAGTTAAAACTCGTGCCCACAATGTCGAGGAAATATAAATCTTGCAACTGATCATGTGCTTTGAGGGACTGGTCGCGTGTCGTGCGTTGTTTTGGAGCTGATACATTGAATGTTTGTCCAAGAATCTTAATAGATTGGCCAAGCATCCCTAGTCTTGCTTCTTCATTTGCCACTGTGACGACTATATCTCCTCCTCTCGCTTTGTTGATTTGTACAAAGTCCATCATGAAAGAGCTCCATGATGCCTCCGAGTTTTCTTTAAAAATGCTTTTGATAAATTTGTCATTTGATTCTGAGCCCAATGTATCCCCCGTTGTAATCCAGAACGTTGACGGGTGGCACTTAATCTCTATGACTCTGAATGACTTCGCAGGGCGACCTCATCTCGTAGAGTATTCCACATTAATCAGCGCTCTTCACGTTGAGTGGAGAGGTCACTGGCCTCGCCAGCGCAGCGACAATGCTTCATCGATTTCGTGTACAGTCCCGATCACGACTTCAACTAAGGACCAAAATTACCTTCTAAAATTGATATTTGCATTACATTTCAGAGGTCTGTCGATTCGCCGGCGGTTGATTCAACCAATCGCCGGAGGAAAATTTGAGTAGAACACACAATATGAATGGTAAAAAGAAAGTGCTCATTACAGTGGGTTTCATCCTCGACGGGGATGGGGTCTTTGCAAACAACCACTACATCGCCGAGTGCGTCTTGGCCTAGCATCATCTTCAAATCGTTGCTTCCAAACGTATTGTAGTGTACGATGAGAGCCAGTCAAACATAAAAATTCGTATTTAACATTATACGATTCACGCCAAATATGACGATAGAGTCGGTTTCGTGAAATTTGTATCGTATTGTATGATTGTACTGAAACTCTCTAATACCAACATCTCTTCGAAACACTACGAAAGCTGTGGGTAATCATGGCTGCGGTAACACTCCATGCTCTGTGGATACATCTTAACAGGACACGTTTTGAAAACAAACCCCCTCCCTTCATCCCCACCGTAAGACAAACTACGATGGTGTCTTGGCGTGCCGGCGTCAGATGAATGCTTAACGGTCCTGTGCAGGCTTTGTAGAGAGGAAGAAGACTTTGGGTGTAATGATATGAATGGTAAAAAGAAAGTGCTCATTACAGTGGGTTTCATCCTCGACGGGGATGGATGCATCTTTGGGATTCATGCGTTTACACTGTAAATGATGTCATAGCACTCGGGCGGGATCGATCCCTGGACCTCACAGACCCAGACACTAAACCATCAAGCCAATCAGGCTTCATATTTTAGTATAATTCTTTGTATATACGTATATCTCTTTCATAGATTACTCTCAATATCGATACATATCATATTACAAAGTACTCTTGATTTGAAAGCTCTCAAACGTTATGTCGAGTACGTTCAAACGCTGTTTTGTGTTCCAACTCAACAGCATTATTGGTTTAGACTAAATTGCTTACTCATACAAGTTGCATTATTACGTCTTCATTTCAGTAGAGACAACATCAGGACTGCTCTATCACGTTGAGTTCTGAAGACTATCATTGGATAAGACAACCCAACTCAACAATTAAGCTATGTTGGCCCTGGATTATCAACACTCGGTCTACTTGAGGAAACGTCAGTACAACCTAAGGCACAAGTTTGAGATTAACAAGTCCGCTAGTAGAAGAAACCACTGTTGAGAGCTACACCTCGGCATAAAATGTTTCTACCGTGAACGGCTAAAAGTGGAGACGCCGGGGATTGAACCCGGGGCCTTCCGCATGCAAAGCGGTTAACTGAGTATATTAAAGAATTAATATGGCCCAAAAGGGCCGCAAACTAGACTTTCGATTTTGGCTTCATAGGTCGCATAATAAATATGTGTTGCGAAATGTGACCTTGGAAGGTTCTTGTGGAAAATCGTCCAGTGTTGCTTAACCGAAATAGACTTGGGGTGTGGGGTAATTTGGAGGAACCATGGCAGAAAGAAAATGTTGCATGGCGATTCAGGCTGTGAAAAAATTCAACAGTATAGAGAAGAGCCATACAAGCAACTTTCTTTTCATGACCATCTTGATCCGAGTTGGTGGTGGCGAGATACGAGGCAATTTCGGGTTGACTGTGGAGGACTTGAAAATTTGTATACAAAAGTCTTGATAAAAATTCCAAGTGGAGGTACGCAGTGAAAAAGGCCAAGTAAATAAAAGCTTGAGTTGGGGTCGATCCATGAATAAATAAATCGACAGGAGAGGAAGGCCAAAAATTGACAAAAGGGTCGAAACAGAGTAAAATCAGGCCCAAGGAAAATAAATTGGCAAGAGGTAGGAGCCCAAAAAATCCAAAAAGGTCGTGGCCAATTTAATTCGACCTCAGGAGGCCGAATTAAATCGCTGTAACCATGGGAAAAGCTGGGTTTGAGAGAAAAGACCATCCAAAATAAAATGTTCTTGGACGATTTGACCAGCCAAAAAAATCAAACGAGGTCGGTCGTTCCATGACAAGCAAAGTTGATTTCAGGAGCGTCTTCATCGGAGTTGATGGTGGCGAGATAGAGGGAAAATATCCCTTGTGGGTTGGGCTTTTGGGGTAAACCTCCCAAAAATAATAAAAAAGGGTAAAATATTTGGGAGGAGCCATTTTGACATGCGCCATGCGCGGATAGGTCTCGAGCGCGAGCATCGTCGGAGCTGGATTTCGAACGGCGCCGCTTCCGCATGCAAAGCGGACGCGCTACCACTGCGCTACACCCCCAACTTTCCTTTTTACCGTGTCCATCACACCCAAAGAAAGTACCACCGTCTCCTCAAGACACCGACCCGCAGGAACCCACGCTCTCGCCCAGCTACCATGTCTTCTCTGTCGTCTAATCAAGACCCCACTCGTCGTGCCTGTCCTTCTCCGGCTTCTAAGACGCCCGCCGACCAAGGACTTCCACCGCTCGAATCGTCTCCCATCGACTGCGCTCAGCCAACCACGACGCTTCGTCAACAAGTCGGAACGCCAACTACAAGTCTGCAACAATCTCCAGTCATTCGACCTACTCCTCTCGAACCTACCGCTTGCCTTAGAACCCCGCTTGCCTGCGCTGCCGACGTGCCGCCTGTGCCGGAGATGCAGGTTGGATCGACCATCGCCGACGGTGAGCACAGCGTTGCCACTGCCGGGAATTCGCCTCTGCTTGATACCGTCGCTCGTGACGCCGGGGAGAGCATGCCTGCTGTCCTGGCTGGCACAATCCTCCATACTTCATACGCATATCGGCAACCACACCATGGCCTAGGGGCGAGTGTAGCAGTCCCCAGAGTGTGTTAGACCCAACCATAGATTGCGTTTTCGTAATTGGTAGCCATACAACTGGTTGTTTAGTCATGCAGACAAGCCAAGCTTCATTGAGAAAATATGGCGAGAGCTGTAAGACCAGAGTGATTTCGAAAACAGCTAAAGCAAGTTCGACATCATATAATAATACCCCCAATTCTGGTGGACATACAGCTTGGATATGTGCGTGTTGGATGAATGCAACATCAAAGAAGGACGCTGTCGGTGAAATGGAAAATATCTCGAAAAATGAAGTGGCAAAGGGGGCAACTTTGGGAAGAGTACTGGCCACAATCCACCTGTGCCACGCGTGAAGCTGTGCTACTTTTCTGACAGCTTGTTGGTCATTCCAGTAGACTCTTGTAAAATCGCAATTGGCTTTGTGTGGAGCTGTAGACATCCACCGCCACATTTCTTCTGCTTGAGCTTTCTCCAACTTTGGACTAATGTCAAGCAGAGGTTCAGCTGCTGCTTCAAGAATTTTTTGATGTGCTATATCCTGGTCATACGTGTCTGTCAGGGTCTGTATCTCCTTCACAATTTCTTTCAGTGTCAAGTTGTTAGGGTGCCATTGCATACTACTGTTGCGTAGTCGCATACGACGTATGCTGGCTCTCCTGTGAAATGCCTTTTGAGGAGGACTTTGAATGTCCATGATATAAGTTTGAACGGGAAAATCTTGTGGTGTGTCCCACCGCCCTTGTGTTGACTTCAAACATACAAAGCGCATCGTACATATTTGCTGTCACCCACGGTTTAGATGATCCCGTATTTACTTCCTCTCGAGTGCGTTTGAGAGGTTTTCTCGGTCTCATCTACTTCCATATCATTCACCATGGCATGGAATTCTGCCTGTGGCGTCTGTTCGACTCTCTCTTCCAGTAACTCAGTTGGCCGCGTTGGCATTCGTTGACCCTGGTTTGAATTTTCCGTCTCCTGGGGGCCCATTTCCTCGATGGGTTCCTCCCTTGTCTGTTTACGGATTTCCTCTTGGGGTTGGCTATGCTCGTTCGAATTAACTTTATGGTGCTTGTTGACTGCATCCTCGTCCTCTTGTTGGACTTGTCCTTAACAACTTCTGAAATATAAATCAAATTTTAGTTTTTTTTATGTTTTTTTAAAAATAATTTTTGAGTTATTTATTTATTTAAATTTATATGATTATTTTTATCACCTGTTTGATGAGCATTTATTGTACTTGATTATAATGTAATAATAGCCTTCTAGTTCTGCACTGACTAGAAATTTATCTAAGTCGAGACAGTGAGGTGACAGTCGTCCTTGTCGAGCCGTCGTTGGTTTCACATAGTTTTTGACGAAGACGCCATACGGAACTCCATGTAGTATGATTTGATCCACTACGTGTCCATTGACCAGCAATGCTGACGGTGTACTGCTCTTATTGAAATACACGCGCCAAATGTTTGGGTGTACTGTAGTTTTATGTTCTTTGGACGTGTAGGTCATCTTATAGCAGATGAAAACGGGGCTTGTTTTCAATCGGCGGAGTGGTTTAAGCACTGCTTGCGAGTCAAAGTTAAAACTCGTGCCCACAATGTCGAGGAAATATAAATCTTGCAACTGATCATGTGCTTTGAGGGACTGGTCGCGTGTCGTGCGTTGTTTTGGAGCTGATACATTGAATGTTTGTCCAAGAATCTTAATAGATTGGCCAAGCATCCCTAGTCTTGCTTCTTCATTTGCCACTGTGACGACTATATCTCCTCCTCTCGCTTTGTTGATTTGTACAAAGTCCATCATGAAAGAGCTCCATGATGCCTCCGAGTTTTCTTTAAAAATGCTTTTGATAAATTTGTCATTTGATTCTGAGCCCAATGTATCCCCCGTTGTAATCCAGAACGTTGACGGGTGGCACTTAATCTCTATGACTCTGAATGACTTCGCAGGGCGACCTCATCTCGTAGAGTATTCCACATTAATCAGCGCTCTTCACGTTGAGTGGAGAGGTCACTGACCTCGCCAGCGCAGCGACAATGCTTCATCGATTTCGTGTACAGTCCCGATCACGACTTCAACTAAGGACCAAAATTACCTTCTAAAATTGATATTTGCATTACATTTCAGAGGTCTGTCGATTCGCCGGCGGTTGATTCAACCAATCGCCGGAGGAAAATTTGAGTAGAACACACAATATGAATGGTAAAAAGAAAGTGCTCATTACAGTGGGTTTCATCCTCGACGGGGATGGGGTCTTTGCAAACAACCACTACATCGCCGAGTGCGTCTTGGCCTTGCATCATCTTCAAATCGTTGCTTCCAAACGTATTGTAGTGTACGATGAGAGCCAGTCAAACATAAAAATTCGTATTTAACATTATACGATTCACGCCAAATATGACGATAGAGTCGGTTTCGTGAAATTTGTATCGTATTGTATGATTGTACTGAAACTCTCTAATACCAACATCTCTTCGAAACACTACGAAAGCTGTGGGTAATCATGGCTGCGGTAACACTCCATGCTCTGTGGATACATCTTAACAGGACACGTTTTGAAAACAAACCCCCTCCCTTCATCCCCACCGTAAGACAAACTACGATGGTGTCTTGGCGTGCCGGCGTCAGATGAATGCTTAACGGTCCTGTGCAGGCTTTGTAGAGAGGAAGAAGACTTTGGGTGTAATGATATGAATGGTAAAAAGAAAGTGCTCATTACAGTGGGTTTCATCCTCGACGGGGATGGATGCATCTTTGGGATTCATGCGTTTACACTGTAAATGATGTCATAGCACTCGGGCGGGATCGATCCCTGGACCTCACAGACCCAGACACTAAACCATCAAGCCAATCAGGCTTCATATTTTAGTATAATTCTTTGTATATACGTATATCTCTTTCATAGATTACTCTCAATATCGATACATATCATATTACAAAGTACTCTTGATTTGAAAGCTCTCAAACGTTATGTCGAGTACGTTCAAACGCTGTTTTGTGTTCCAACTCAACAGCATTATTGGTTTAGACTAAATTGCTTACTCATACAAGTTGCATTATTACGTCTTCATTTCAGTAGAGACAACATCAGGACTGCTCTATCACGTTGAGTTCTGAAGACTATCATTGGATAAGACAACCCAACTCAACAATTAAGCTATGTTGGCCCTGGATTATCAACACTCGGTCTACTTGAGGAAACGTCAGTACAACCTAAGGCACAAGTTTGAGATTAACAAGTCCGCTAGTAGAAGAAACCACTGTTGAGAGCTACACCTCGGCATAAAATGTTTCTACCGTGAACGGCTAAAAGTGGAGACGCCGGGGATTGAACCCGGGGCCTTCCGCATGCAAAGCGGACGCGCTACCACTGCGCTACACCCCCAACTTTCCTTTTTACCGTGTCCATCACACCCAAAGAAAGTACCACCGTCTCCTCAAGACACCGACCCGCAGGAACCCACGCTCTCGCCCAGCTACCATGTCTTCTCTGTCGTCTAATCAAGACCCCACTCGTCGTGCCTGTCCTTCTCCGGCTTCTAAGACGCCCGCCGACCAAGGACTTCCACCGCTCGAATCGTCTCCCATCGACTGCGCTCAGCCAACCACGACGCTTCGTCAACAAGTCGGAACGCCAACTACAAGTCTGCAACAATCTCCAGTCATTCGACCTACTCCTCTCGAACCTACCGCTTGCCTTAGAACCCCGCTTGCCTGCGCTGCCGACGTGCCGCCTGTGCCGGAGATGCAGGTTGGATCGACCATCGCCGACGGTGAGCACAGCGTTGCCACTGCCGGGAATTCGCCTCTGCTTGATACCGTCGCTCGTGACGCCGGGGAGAGCATGCCTGCTGTCCTGGCTGGCACAATCCTCCATACTTCATACGCATATCGGCAACCACACCATGGCCTAGGGGCGAGTGTAGCAGTCCCCAGAGTGTGTTAGACCCAACCATAGATTGCGTTTTCGTAATTGGTAGCCATACAACTGGTTGTTTAGTCATGCAGACAAGCCAAGCTTCATTGAGAAAATATGGCGAGAGCTGTAAGACCAGAGTGATTTCGAAAACAGCTAAAGCAAGTTCGACATCATATAATAATACCCCCAATTCTGGTGGACATACAGCTTGGATATGTGCGTGTTGGATGAATGCAACATCAAAGAAGGACGCTGTCGGTGAAATGGAAAATATCTCGAAAAATGAAGTGGCAAAGGGGGCAACTTTGGGAAGAGTACTGGCCACAATCCACCTGTGCCACGCGTGAAGCTGTGCTACTTTTCTGACAGCTTGTTGGTCATTCCAGTAGACTCTTGTAAAATCGCAATTGGCTTTGTGTGGAGCTGTAGACATCCACCGCCACATTTCTTCTGCTTGAGCTTTCTCCAACTTTGGACTAATGTCAAGCAGAGGTTCAGCTGCTGCTTCAAGAATTTTTTGATGTGCTATATCCTGGTCATACGTGTCTGTCAGGGTCTGTATCTCCTTCACAATTTCTTTCAGTGTCAAGTTGTTAGGGTGCCATTGCATACTACTGTTGCGTAGTCGCATACGACGTATGCTGGCTCTCCTGTGAAATGCCTTTTGAGGAGGACTTTGAATGTCCATGATATAAGTTTGAACGGGAAAATCTTGTGGTGTGTCCCACCGCCCTTGTGTTGACTTCAAACATACAAAGCGCATCGTACATATTTGCTGTCACCCACGGTTTAGATGATCCCGTATTTACTTCCTCTCGAGTGCGTTTGAGAGGTTTTCTCGGTCTCATCTACTTCCATATCATTCACCATGGCATGGAATTCTGCCTGTGGCGTCTGTTCGACTCTCTCTTCCAGTAACTCAGTTGGCCGCGTTGGCATTCGTTGACCCTGGTTTGAATTTTCCGTCTCCTGGGGGCCCATTTCCTCGATGGGTTCCTCCCTTGTCTGTTTACGGATTTCCTCTTGGGGTTGGCTATGCTCGTTCGAATTAACTTTATGGTGCTTGTTGACTGCATCCTCGTCCTCTTGTTGGACTTGTCCTTAACAACTTCTGAAATATAAATCAAATTTTAGTTTTTTTTATGTTTTTTTAAAAATAATTTTTGAGTTATTTATTTATTTAAATTTATATGATTATTTTTATCACCTGTTTGATGAGCATTTATTGTACTTGATTATAATGTAATAATAGCCTTCTAGTTCTGCACTGACTAGAAATTTATCTAAGTCGAGACAGTGAGGTGACAGTCGTCCTTGTCGAGCCGTCGTTGGTTTCACATAGTTTTTGACGAAGACGCCATACGGAACTCCATGTAGTATGATTTGATCCACTACGTGTCCATTGACCAGCAATGCTGACGGTGTACTGCTCTTATTGAAATACACGCGCCAAATGTTTGGGTGTACTGTAGTTTTATGTTCTTTGGACGTGTAGGTCATCTTATAGCAGATGAAAACGGGGCTTGTTTTCAATCGGCGGAGTGGTTTAAGCACTGCTTGCGAGTCAAAGTTAAAACTCGTGCCCACAATGTCGAGGAAATATAAATCTTGCAACTGATCATGTGCTTTGAGGGACTGGTCGCGTGTCGTGCGTTGTTTTGGAGCTGATACATTGAATGTTTGTCCAAGAATCTTAATAGATTGGCCAAGCATCCCTAGTCTTGCTTCTTCATTTGCCACTGTGACGACTATATCTCCTCCTCTCGCTTTGTTGATTTGTACAAAGTCCATCATGAAAGAGCTCCATGATGCCTCCGAGTTTTCTTTAAAAATGCTTTTGATAAATTTGTCATTTGATTCTGAGCCCAATGTATCCCCCGTTGTAATCCAGAACGTTGACGGGTGGCACTTAATCTCTATGACTCTGAATGACTTCGCAGGGCGACCTCATCTCGTAGAGTATTCCACATTAATCAGCGCTCTTCACGTTGAGTGGAGAGGTCACTGGCCTCGCCAGCGCAGCGACAATGCTTCATCGATTTCGTGTACAGTCCCGATCACGACTTCAACTAAGGACCAAAATTACCTTCTAAAATTGATATTTGCATTACATTTCAGAGGTCTGTCGATTCGCCGGCGGTTGATTCAACCAATCGCCGGAGGAAAATTTGAGTAGAACACACAATATGAATGGTAAAAAGAAAGTGCTCATTACAGTGGGTTTCATCCTCGACGGGGATGGGGTCTTTGCAAACAACCACTACATCGCCGAGTGCGTCTTGGCCTTGCATCATCTTCAAATCGTTGCTTCCAAACGTATTGTAGTGTACGATGAGAGCCAGTCAAACATAAAAATTCGTATTTAACATTATACGATTCACGCCAAATATGACGATAGAGTCGGTTTCGTGAAATTTGTATCGTATTGTATGATTGTACTGAAACTCTCTAATACCAACATCTCTTCGAAACACTACGAAAGCTGTGGGTAATCATGGCTGCGGTAACACTCCATGCTCTGTGGATACATCTTAACAGGACACGTTTTGAAAACAAACCCCCTCCCTTCATCCCCACCGTAAGACAAACTACGATGGTGTCTTGGCGTGCCGGCGTCAGATGAATGCTTAACGGTCCTGTGCAGGCTTTGTAGAGAGGAAGAAGACTTTGGGTGTAATGATATGAATGGTAAAAAGAAAGTGCTCATTACAGTGGGTTTCATCCTCGACGGGGATGGATGCATCTTTGGGATTCATGCGTTTACACTGTAAATGATGTCATAGCACTCGGGCGGGATCGATCCCTGGACCTCACAGACCCAGACACTAAACCATCAAGCCAATCAGGCTTCATATTTTAGTATAATTCTTTGTATATACGTATATCTCTTTCATAGATTACTCTCAATATCGATACATATCATATTACAAAGTACTCTTGATTTGAAAGCTCTCAAACGTTATGTCGAGTACGTTCAAACGCTGTTTTGTGTTCCAACTCAACAGCATTATTGGTTTAGACTAAATTGCTTACTCATACAAGTTGCATTATTACGTCTTCATTTCAGTAGAGACAACATCAGGACTGCTCTATCACGTTGAGTTCTGAAGACTATCATTGGATAAGACAACCCAACTCAACAATTAAGCTATGTTGGCCCTGGATTATCAACACTCGGTCTACTTGAGGAAACGTCAGTACAACCTAAGGCACAAGTTTGAGATTAACAAGTCCGCTAGTAGAAGAAACCACTGTTGAGAGCTACACCTCGGCATAAAATGTTTCTACCGTGAACGGCTAAAAGTGGAGACGCCGGGGATTGAACCCGGGGCCTTCCGCATGCAAAGCGGACGCGCTACCACTGCGCTACACCCCCAACTTTCCTTTTTACCGTGTCCATCACACCCAAAGAAAGTACCACCGTCTCCTCAAGACACCGACCCGCAGGAACCCACGCTCTCGCCCAGCTACCATGTCTTCTCTGTCGTCTAATCAAGACCCCACTCGTCGTGCCTGTCCTTCTCCGGCTTCTAAGACGCCCGCCGACCAAGGACTTCCACCGCTCGAATCGTCTCCCATCGACTGCGCTCAGCCAACCACGACGCTTCGTCAACAAGTCGGAACGCCAACTACAAGTCTGCAACAATCTCCAGTCATTCGACCTACTCCTCTCGAACCTACCGCTTGCCTTAGAACCCCGCTTGCCTGCGCTGCCGACGTGCCGCCTGTGCCGGAGATGCAGGTTGGATCGACCATCGCCGACGGTGAGCACAGCGTTGCCACTGCCGGGAATTCGCCTCTGCTTGATACCGTCGCTCGTGACGCCGGGGAGAGCATGCCTGCTGTCCTGGCTGGCACAATCCTCCATACTTCATACGCATATCGGCAACCACACCATGGCCTAGGGGCGAGTGTAGCAGTCCCCAGAGTGTGTTAGACCCAACCATAGATTGCGTTTTCGTAATTGGTAGCCATACAACTGGTTGTTTAGTCATGCAGACAAGCCAAGCTTCATTGAGAAAATATGGCGAGAGCTGTAAGACCAGAGTGATTTCGAAAACAGCTAAAGCAAGTTCGACATCATATAATAATACCCCCAATTCTGGTGGACATACAGCTTGGATATGTGCGTGTTGGATGAATGCAACATCAAAGAAGGACGCTGTCGGTGAAATGGAAAATATCTCGAAAAATGAAGTGGCAAAGGGGGCAACTTTGGGAAGAGTACTGGCCACAATCCACCTGTGCCACGCGTGAAGCTGTGCTACTTTTCTGACAGCTTGTTGGTCATTCCAGTAGACTCTTGTAAAATCGCAATTGGCTTTGTGTGGAGCTGTAGACATCCACCGCCACATTTCTTCTGCTTGAGCTTTCTCCAACTTTGGACTAATGTCAAGCAGAGGTTCAGCTGCTGCTTCAAGAATTTTTTGATGTGCTATATCCTGGTCATACGTGTCTGTCAGGGT